CCGTCACATGGTGGGGCTGAGGTGGCGTAGATTCTCCATTTTGTGAATTCCCCAGTTACGTATGGTCATAATTTAAATATGATTGATGTAACATCACCTCACAGTATAAACTCATATTGCATACGGTATTAGACATTACTCCGATTTATCATTACGTTACGCTGCATGTTATTGTTAAATATATAAATTACATATTGAAATTAATGTATTTTTTTGAGTAATTATTTTTTTATTAGTATTTCTCAGTCTTCGTGAGGCAGGTGGTGGTGTTCTCATAAACGATATTACACATGAGCACGCACGCAAGAAACATACAGTACGTGTGCACACAAAGCCTTATTACAAATTCAATTATCGTCTGAATTTGATTTACAGTGTGGTCTTTGATTCCATTTCTGATGAATAACACAAAATATTTTAACCAGTGATTCAAAAATGGTAGTGTAAGCAAATGAACTGACACTCAAATTTGCATGCCGTGTGTCTGGACATATCCTGCTTTTCAATGAGGTCCTTTAGTGTATTACTTAGTAATTCTCTGTAAGATGGATATGAGCCGTGTTTCAATGGGAACCAAAAGCTCATTTGAAAGAAGGTGCCTGTTTTAAAACTTGATAATAAATATTTGAGAAAAGCATATATCACCATCAGGATACAAACCCAAGACTTTCCAATTACCATCCGGACCAACTGAGCTGTGAGGCCAAGAGGTATACACCCTTAGATTTTCCGATTAGAACATGTTTTCCTTGAGATATTGGCGTAATAGATTTACTTATTTTGTCATATATACATGTACAATACACATACAATGAAATTCGGTCACAAAAATAATAATAAATACACAAAAAATTTAAAAAAATGAATATATAAAAAAAATACACAATGAACAATAGTAAATCACATGAAAGTAACATTGGTTTAGATAGAGATTCACCTCCACTGAATGTTAATTAATTATTAAGGGCTGAAAAATGTATTTCAGTCCTACAGAAACACAAGGAGAAAGGTGGTGGAATTGAACCAGAGACCACCAGTGGCTACTACCAGTTTGCCTGACTGAGCTAAGCTGCCCATGATTGACACATGTCCCTGATTGACACTTGCCCTTTGATGTTGTCGCACTCTGTCAGTGTGACAATATTCAATATACAGCCAGCAATAGTGTATTAAACAAATTATTCTGATTTAGGATTAAAATGACAAAGATGCCTTAATCATTATTTAATCAATAATGGTAAAGGTAGGAGACTAACCCTTAACTTGCAGCGTTCTTGTGCTGAATTGCGTATGGACGTGGTCTGTGACTACCTAGCAGCCGTAAAGAGGTGCTTATAGTAACTACATGTTCACACCATTCCACAACGACGGGCTGAAATAAACTATAACATCGGGATAACCCCCTACTCTTCCGAAAGAAAGATGCAGTGGGTTCTTTAAAGTGCACACGAGCCAGATGTATGCATTGGACCTCCATTTTAAGTCCTTAACCTAGAAGACTTGGTTCTACCAACCAAACCATGGGCGAGGAGCGACTGGAACCAGCGCCAATGTTAAGGCTGGTTAGCGGTGCCCCTGCCTTACCGCTCGGCCATTTGAAAGAATGCCTGTAGGGACTACTGTAACACAATAAATACATATTTACACTGATTCTGCTTTTATTTTTGATAGTTACTGTAAAAAATATGCAATAAACCTAATGTATTGTTGCTTTAAATTTTTGTTTTCTTTATGAGTTTATACAGTATGTATATTATGCAAGTATATGCGAATATATGTGGGTATGTGTGTGTGTATGTGTACATGTGTATGCATATGTGAGTGTATGTGTGTGCATGTATATGTGTGTGTATGTGCATGTGTATATGGGTGTATGGATACACACACATATTATGTTCATGATTTTGGTGCTTTTTCTTATTTTTTACTTGATTTTTGTAATTCCTGTTTTAATTTTGATTTCTTTTTTCTTTTTTTTTTTACGTTTTGATTCTGTAAAATTAGTTTACATTTCCAAAATTTAAGCCCATACTGTAGTTAACAACTTTTTGAGTTAAGCTACCGGCTTTCCTTTTTTTTGCATTCCTGGTTAATTTGCTTTTCTTTATATGATTTGTTTTTGTATTGGTTGTTACTTTTGTATCTTAGCTGTTATTGTTGTTAGAGCGCACCACAAGAGTTGTGTGTGCCACCGTTCTAAAGGTGAAGTGTCAATAAATAAATAAACTGATGCCAATCAATGATATACATTTATTTCATCCATCCTATTACTTTGATGGTGCTCAGTGTCTAATACCACAAGTGGTGGCTCAATCTTACAAAGGGTACTTATTGATAACTAGAAATAATTAACATGATTTGTATAGAAATAAAGCATTTTAATTGTTAAAATTATAAATAGGTTGTCTTGCAATCTTACTAGCTCTTATACATATACAATGTTACAGTGTAAGACCATGCTCTCAAGAGCACAGATCGACGCTAGTGTGCCCTCTAGTTGTCTGCTTTGTGTGAGTGATATCTTCACCTACAAACTATTTGACAACCATCTTAAGTGCAGTTGCCATTTACCATTTCATGAGTGTATAAATAAAAACTTTTTTCCATCTGTTTTCTCTCAGATGTTTATATAAATATTTGCCCATCTTTCTATAAATACTGAATTATCTTTAATATATCTACTGGTATATATGTCTATATATCTATGATTTATACATTATTAATAACAATGATGAAAGAGTTTCAGCAGTGCTACAAGAAAATAATGGTTATTTAATTTGTATGTTGGTTTATGGTTGGTACCTGCAATAAAAATGCTGTTTTAATAATGACAGAAGAATAATCATCAGAAAAGATGTAGACTATTATTTTAGCATCGTACTCTGTACATAAATATTTTTAATTGTTAGGAGGTTGAATAGAAATTAAAATTCATGGATTAGACATCATGATATTATGATTGTATTTTGAGTACTGTATTATAATACATTTGATCTTCTTGTTTATGAGATTTACTAATCAATTAATTTATTCTAATTTGTTGAGTTAAATTTATGCATAGATTCATCTGTACATTTGATTGATTGACAGTTATTTATTTTTATGATGACTATGGTGTTCTTTTGAAAAAATTGTTTTCCCTGTAATGTTTTTATGGTTCTCTCTATGACCTCCCTGTGTTCTTTTTCCATCTTCCTTATTTTTAAATATTTATTTCTCAGTTGTATTTTTTTATTAATTATCCTAATGTATTTTCTTCCCTCCACCTCCCCACTCCCAATATTTTCACCAAGTATTCTTCCTGTAAATTTTTACTTCTTTTTTCTTTATAAATAATAGATTTTTTTCTGGTTTTAACCATTTTCATTTAAATGTATAAAATTTGTTGGTGTTTTGTTGTAGATTTGTAACAAATTTCATCACCCTGTGATCATGACATTTAGTTTTCTATCTCATTTTTTATCTTATTATTTAATTATTGTAGTTTTTTTATGAATATATGTATTATGTATAAAAAGCAATAATGATAATATAGTTATATTACAAAGAAATATATTACATAAGCCTATTGTGAAGAATTACTTCATATTTGTTAATTTTACACATGTTTAGGCAAGACTTTTGTTATACCTTGTTTAGCGAACCATCTAACCGCCAAAAAAACCGCCAAAAAAACCGCCAAAAAAACCGCCAAAAAAGGTGATTTGAATTAAAATATATTTTTATTTTTTTGCCATTTGGAAATGGAAATTGGATTAAAAAATTGGAAATTGGATTAAAAAATTGTATATTCATTTTTATTATGCCCTCCACTCCCCTGAAAAATAAGATATATTATAAGTCAATTGTGACGTCATCACTGCAACTCCCAATGGTATTTGCCTATACCCCACCGTCCAATAATTTTTCAATTAGTGGACGCTTGGCTTGATTTTCTTTAGGTTCATGTGCAAAAAAAATTCCTCATTTTTTCGTCACCGCGAAGACATCGTGCACCGCGATAAAAATTCAATTGTAATTGAAAATTACTTTCGTAAAATAGCTTAATGAGGACCAGAAGAAAGTTACTTCAAATTCAATATAAAGTATGAACAAATAAAGAATTTATTGAATCAATGGACCCTCATAAACAAACTGAACATTTAATAGGAATATTCTAGACCTATTTTAAAGACTCCAGGAACGGATATGGATGTAGACCTACGTCCAGGCAGGAGGAGGCCGCCGAGGCCTCCTTTACTAAGCCGTAGCTTAGCCTGAAATCATTGCACGATTTTTACCTACACCATACACCGACCAAAAAGGTCAGTGACTGTATTCTCTCCCGAATGCTGAAATGTTTATTTCTTTGATGAATGCCTATCAAAATAGCATTACAAACAAGTTCTTTCTAACACAATTACAATAGTTATTCATCGTATCCGTACTGTATGTACTGCTAATGTGTAGTTAACGCGTACGTACTCAGGAGCACAGATCAGCATACGCACAGCTAAATGTAAATACGCACACAGTATACTGATCATATCACTATAGCAACCGATGACTGCTACACTAGTTGTTATCAAAAACTAAAATTAACAGACGATGATTGACTTATAAAGCAATTAGTAGAGAATGCATCATACACTAAAGAAAAATTATTATATTTAGGTTAGATTTAATGCATTCAAAAATTTTCTTCGGAACTCAGGAAATTTTTTCAGGTATAAAATCTAACCTTTGTATAATAATTTTCCTATAGTGTACTATGCGGAGCTCTACTAATTGCTTAATATTTCTTTCTTAATTATATAAATTTAAAGCATTTATCAATCTCATTACTACACTGGTTAAAAGGCAAAATTTAATTTATATTTTTTTTCCGCCCTCCTATAACAATTAAAAAAAAAATAAGTTTGCGAAACAAGGTATAAAATAAGTCAGGCCTTATCCTATTTATATATCAGTTGGATTACATATGCACAAACTTAATCAATATATTGTGTTTGTTATTTCAGACCTTTCAACTGTCGAAACCAAACTAAAAAAGAAAAAGTACCAGAAATTGAGCGAGTTTTCATACGATGTTGGAAAGGTGTTTGATAACTGTCGATTGTACAACCCTAGCGACTCTCCATTCTACCAGTGTGCAGACATTCTTGAGAAGTTCTTTGTCCACAAGATGAAGTCTTTTAAACATTAATCGCAGGATCAGTTAAGCACGGTTCCCTTAAAATTGCTACCGTGTTTTCAGTACAATCATTGTACTGTGTAACGGACCCTGACGCAATCGGGAAGCCTCCCCGATTCGACCAACCAATCAGCATCACCGAAGGCTGTCGGCAATAGTATGTAGCAATTGTATGGAAACTAGGCTCTAGTGTAGTAGGCTAGTGTCCTAATGTATAAAGGCAACTTGAAGTTGTGCATACAAAAATATACAAAAGTAAATATATATGTTATTTTTGAGAAAACTAATGTCTCTACTGTACAGGTGGTATTTGTAAAAATCTTTTTCTCGCATTAACGTTTCTTTAACTTGATTTTTAAATTTATTTCTCCAGTACAAATAGTTATTTTTAGAGTGGCGTATTATCTGTGGGAGGACATGCTCAGTTTGGAGTAAATCTCTAATAGTTTTCATAGAGAAATTGATGCTTTATTAATTCAATTTGTCGTCTAATTGAAGCTGTCTCAATATGGGTGGTGATTACCACATTGTCGTGTGTATCGACAGATTCAAGGAAAATGGCAATTTCCACTTTGTCTACATCAATTTATATTTAAAATATTAACCGACACACGAAAACTGGCCATCAGGACTTATTCCCTGATTTGAATTAAGTGCGTAGCATCTAGTTACCATGTTACTTGCCTAATCGTGCTCCCTACGTGTAAACTACACACACGCTCACGTAACACTTTCATTTTAACTAATAAGTGGGTTCATCACAACTAGTATATTAATAACATTTTGATTGGTAATCAACACAGGTTGTAATGGTGATTATAATTTTGGGTTTTATTACCAACCATAAGAGTTGTTAAAGTGATACAATTCCATAAACTAGTTCTTGTATTGAAACCTTTCTCTGGTACGTCTCTCACATGAAAGAATATTTAGGTTAATCTTGTCAATTAGAAAAATCATTAAGATCATTGGTCATAATTAGATTTTACATATTTTGTGCATATGAATTTCATTAAAGTATGTTATACATATTAATAAGGTATCCTATAATTAAAGCATTTCTTATGAATATTTATTATGTTGCTATGAATATTAATTACCTTGTATACATATTTGAATAGTGGTAAATACATGTTTATCAATATGTTTTGCATATTAAGTTATTGATTTTTTTCCCCCTTTGTTTCCATCAGACTCAAAAGATATTGAAAAATGTGATTATTTTTTGTGAAATCAAAAAACTTCCAATCAATTTGATTATGTAACTAAAAAGTTACTTTAAAATATTTTACTAATTGTTTGTTGTATTATTATTATGTGGACTATAAAATTACAAACCATCAGATTATTTGCTGGTAAAAAACAGGCAATTAAACATTTGCTAATGAAGGACAGAATTCCTCGTTGAAGTTATCAATTTTTGTAATTATGTAGTAAATCAAGAAGAAGTAACTGGAGATAACATAAGAACATTGAGAAGATAAATAAATGACCACCAAGAGACCAATGTTCCCAGACCGAACTAGGATTGAAAATTGAAAATCACTGAATACTTAAAATAAAGAGAAACCTGGGGATTTGTGTTTGTAGAATAATTTGAAACTTAATTTAATGTCACACAAGTATATGTTGTGCTAAAATGAAATGTCATGAGAAGGGAAAAATCTAATTAATATATCGATTTTATTTTGAGTACTCTAGGTACTAGCGTAATTAGAATAGTGTCTGCTAATTAAGCTTCGTTAGCAACACACTCAGAAGTTGATTAGGTGTTTAGCACCCTTAAAGTTACACAATGTTGATGGTAGCCCCCAAGGCAAATAACAGTTCTCATTACTTTTGCTAGAGTAGTATTATTCAGAGAAGAAATAAGTGAGAAAGGAACTCTTAACTAAAACGTAATTTTTATTGTGATCAGAACCTAATGGAAAATTAAACTGTTTAAAAATTTCAAATTTAGGTCGCTGTTCCAGAAATTACATTATGTTTTTGATACAGATGTGGGCTAATATAGCTTTTGCAGTTTGTTGTTAAATTTCTGTTATTAAATTTACCATGGGTGTGAATACTGATTTCGTCCATTAATTCGTTTTTGATTTGGGTGCTATGACAACAATATTAAATAAAGTACACTGTGGGTAGTGTTCAGGAGATTTAGATAAAATCTGAGGTTTTGATTGGTGGAGCTGGCTTGACCCTAACTTCTTAGCTATCTTAAATGAACTACAGTATGTCGGAACAATATGCATCTGCTGTAGTAAATACTATAATTGAATTATGCACATTTTAGCTGCATTTTGTAGCTCATTCCACCATTTAAAACATTTTTATTTGCCTTTATCCCTTTCCTGTGCCCTTCCAATCCAATCATTTAACCGGTGGTGGATATAGAGATGCGAAATAGGGAGCCCCAGAAAAAGATTTTCGCAGATGAAGGGTGTACACCACCTTAACCCCACCATGGTTGAGGCTGAGGTAAGAAAATTTATGATTATGACACAGGAAATAGCACTGTCAGAAATTTGAATATAATATTTTGTTATAGTCTTGAGAAATTTAGGGGGCCCTGGGCTGGCTGCTCCCCCTCCCCCTAAATATGCCACTGTTAACTGTATTGTACCACATCTCAAATCATTTACCTGTATACAATCTTCTATCCCTTCAATTCACCTGTATACCATTCCCTATCCCATCATATCATCATTTACTTTACTCCCTTTTCTATACATCAGTGTCCCCTTCATATCATCATTTACTTTACTCCCTTTTCTATACATCAGTGTCCCCTTCATACCATTTTTATAAACCAAAATTGGAATCATGAAAATAATCATTTTCTTGATAATAATTAATATTATTTTTTTATTGCTTGAGAAATAGTAAGTCTGGAATTGACATCAAGACGAAGATAATTGAAATCAAGAGTGCAATGATCTCCGCTGAGAAAAAAAATGGCATAATTGGAAGTAAAACTTAATCTGTTCTACAGAAATTGCATCCCTCCATACTTTTAGTTAATCATGTCGTTTATGTTTGTTACGTCTGGGAAGAAAAAATGAATCTGGGAGATAGAGTGTTCATTTGGGGCTGATTATATGATACAGAGCCATCAACTAGTACACATGACCCAAGCAGTAGCTCTCTTTGAACTAGCCTACATCAATTACACCGCTTGAAATTGCCCAGCCTAGCTATCTAAGCATCTTAATTCTATTATATAATCAATCTTGATTAATGATTATAGCTCTTTGTGCTAGGTTTTCATCCAGATGCATGGAAGATGTTTTACAAACTTCATTCGCGAACAAGAATATCTTTATCAAGAGTGGAAGGTTGCGTCAAACAGCTATTCTTTCATAAATTGGAGCCAAATTGTTGGTAATTTGGATTAAAGACTTTTAAATTAACAAATGCGTGTGCTAAACTTGTCAATGATAATTCATGTTACTTTTTAAAAGACAACCAGACATTTAAAAAAAGTACATTGCATAAACATGTAAATCAAACACAAGATGAATGAACAGACGATTTGAAGCATACTCGTTTGATCACATAGTGTGTCTAAGGAAGGATACGATATCTGTAGTTAGAACTGATGAAATGCCCATATATGGGCTAGTCATGGTGTGATGTCATCATAACTATATTTAGGCATGTCACGTGTTTTTGTCAAATGAAATTTTGTAGTCTGGATAGGGTGTAAGCAAATGCTCAGATTATTTTTTACCACAAATGTGTCTTATGGTCTTATAAATCCATCAGTCACTTAAAAGAAAAATCAGTTGACAAAATGGAACAATTGATTGATTGAAATGACATATTAGTATACTATTAGCCCTTCATGTCACTGTAACATACTAATCATGCGAGTGTTGTGGCAAAATTGGCGTCTAAATTTATCATTATGGATTCACTTGGCCCTATAAATAATATTCAAAGTTTTAAAAGGGTATCAAATAAAATAGATTTTGTAAAAACCTGGATCGTTTTTAACGATCCGTGCTGGGTGTTAATGCATTTTGGAGTATTAACTAGGATTGTCACAATACGTAATTACACGATGATGCAGCGTAGGCCCTATTATTGCGACCTTGTGTATTTTCTTCCCCCCAGCTCGGGCAAATGATCTCAAGTCCCCCCGTGGGACAGCTTAAACACCCCCCACCCCCCCACCTGAGAAAATACATTCTAGAGCCGCCACAGGTTAAGAGTCACTCGACAGTACCTATGCCTTATAAATGTCCAGTTTTTTGTATTTTAAACTAACAAACAGAAGCACATATATTTAACAAATATAAAATGTCTCCATTGGGATTTGAACCAAATACCCTCTGATTACTGTTTTTATGCTTTACTAACTGAGCAAAGTGGTGTACATGCATGAATTTAACCATTTGTAGTATTAGATGAATCACATGATATGGGTTTATGAATTTTTAAAGAAAAATGTACTTTTCCGATCCACATGGTATGGGTTTATGAATTTTTAAAGAAAAATGTACTTTTCTGATGGACATTCAAACCAACTGAAAATATACCAATTTCATTATTCTCATCTACAAAAGTGTGTATTTTCATTTTACATTATTTAACCATCTGTAGTAGGCCTATTAGATGAATCACATGATATGGGTTTATGAATTTTTAAAGAAAAAAGTACTTTTCCGATCCACATGAATGTACTTTCCCGATCCACATGGTATGGGTTTATGAATTTTTAAAGAAAAATGTACTTTTCTGATGGAGATTTAAACCAACTGAAAATAAACCAATTTCATCCTTCTTATCTACAAAAGTGTGTATTTTCATTTTCCATTATAATTAATAACATATTTTATTGTAAATATGATTTCTTCTCCAGAAACTGTTTCACCTAAGAAAAGAAGTAGGTTACATGTTAATATTAATTTTTTTTTTTTAAATATGAGAAACATTGGTGCATTAAACATTCAGTTGCTGGAGAATAACAGAGCATAAACATTCATAATATTGAGTCTTTTAATTTTGGTTTG